AAGAAACAGAGGACAAGTTATTTTCTTTTTTTTAATCGTTCGAGTATGCGCATTCGTCTGGGACCTAAGGTTCGTCGTTTATGCTGAAGTTTGAGTATGAGCTTTTGTTCTTAACGTTTTAAAGCGAAGTCACCGTTTCTTAACGGATAATCGTCTTAACAGGTTAATTCTATTTCTTGTATGGAGTGGTGGAGTTTATCGTAAATGGTTTTGATCGTGACTTTAGATTGGAAATGAACTTGTTTACCTTCGGGTGGTTCCTGCTTGATTTTCTTCTTCTTCTTTTTGTTGTCTTTGTTGTCTGATTTCTTTCTCTTCTTGGTATTAACAGGATATTTGGCGGGCGAATGAGGATTGAGACTATAATCTACATAACCTTTACCGACATCCTGCGCTTGGTCTGGTAACATGTAGCGCGTGGGGGATTCGTCTGGACTGGGTTGCGGCGGTGGCGGCTCCATGACTTTGGTTCCTGTCGCTGACGACGACTGAAATGAAATGAATGAAACTCTGACGTTATATTTTTAGGGTCTGGATCGACCAATCAATGCGCAGTACTTTTCCATGACGTGGTCAGTACTTTTCCATCACGAAAGTGATTGTACTTGATTGACAGTCCTTGGTGTATAAAAAACGCGGTTCCACTGTTTGGAATTCACTTGACACGATGGATTGCAGCGAAGAGACTCCGCTGGTCGATTTTGAAGGAATGAATAAGGAGGCTACAACCTTGAAGAGAGGGAAGGTCGAGAAGAAAAAGAAGCAACCTGCTAAGGAGGAAATCCCGGTTTGTAAGATGGTGGTGGATGAGAAGAAGAAAGAAGAACCTGATCTTTTGCTTTTGTTGATCAAAAAGACCATCGATACTATTTTGCTGGAGGAAGCCAGTGAAATAGGGATCAAGATGGATAAGTACCGAGGTGTTTTGTCTGGGGGTATTTGAAAGTGGCGGATCAGATGGATGCGGCGGGAAGTCGCGTGAAGTTGCATAAAGTGGTCGATGCGTTGCGAACAGGCTAGAAAGAGTGGAAGACGACTGGGGATGACAAAGCGACCCTTGACGCGTTCTTGAAAGCCATGGAAATGAACTTTGGTTTAACTCGTGATTCAGTACTTTTACTTTAGGGTGGCGTCTTGTTGTATTGACCAATGACCGTCTTTCTTTTTTTACTATAAAACGTTACGTTGCGGTTCTTGTTTTTATCATTTTATTCAAGATGTTGACCGTGTTGTACAGTAATAGCAACGAGATCATTCATTTGATCGAGTCGGTGTGTGGATTTCACGTGTCGCCTTTGGGTTGCATCGATGAGGAAGAAGGGGTTGACAACCTGTTGCTGTTCGACATTTTGTTTTATGAGAAACCTCAACACGACTGGACCACATCCTGAACTATTTCGTCTACGTCCTGAGTGGGGATGGCAGATTCTTCCTTTACTGAAATCCGCAGGACATAGAGCTTATCTCTTCACCATCGATTGGTACTCCATGGTCTACATCAAGGAATTGGATGTGATTCGTTTTGTGCCAGCCGTTATTCCACCGGTCAGAATGAAGGACAGGTTCTGTCTGTTGGCCACGTCGAGTTTGACCTTCATGATGAGACAGAAGATCAGGAAGATGATTGAGCCCCTCACCTACGCGAGAGATATCTCCGTGAGATTGAGCGAGAAACTGAATCGTCCGATTTCGTTGGGGACTCCCGCTTATTTCAGGGAACTGGCTGAAAAGATGGAGGATTTTTTGGCGCGATTGATGACGGAGAAAGAACAGTGTGACCTTGTAAATAGTTTTAATCACTGTTTGTTCAACGAGGATGACTAAATGGTGTAGTGGTCAGCGCGTTGGCCTCAAAACAAAGGTCCCTGGTTCGAATCCTGGTTTAGTCCTTTTTTTGGATAAAAGCAGTGATGTGACAAAAATAAAATTCATTTTTTGGTGATCATGACTAGTGCATGGTATAGTCTCTGCGAGCGCTGCGAGCTTTTATATGCCAAGTATGGAGAGAAATATCCCATTCCCTCGTTGATAGGTCAAAACCCCGAACAGGAGTTTTTGGACAGCCATGTGGAAGAAAACGTCTGGCGTTTCGTCGTCTTCAGATTATGGTTGAAACGACAACCCATGCCAATCGGGTGGTACGCAATCATAAAACGAGAACACCCTGAGCTGATTAGACAATCTCTCTGTCGATTGGCGACATTATGAGCACGAAAACCCGAAAGAAGAAGAAGGTGGATCGTTATGCCAACTTGTTGAGGTCGTACGAGGATCCCGATGTCCCAGGAAGTCTGGGAGGCGTGACGCGTTTTGCCAAAGCCCGAGGATTACCCATCGAGCCGGTGCGAAAGAGATTGGAAGCCAGTTTGGGATGCACGCTTCACAAACCCACACGTCGTCGTTTTCGTACCGCACCCGTGATGGTCTACGGTATCGACGAACAATGGGTGGCGGATCTCATCGAAGTGGGAAACATTGCCAAATCGAATTGAGGGTACAGGTATCCGTTGACGGTGGTGGACGTGTTGTCCAAGTACGCTTGGGTGGAACCGGTCAAGTCCAAGACTGGCAAAGACGTGACGGCACCCTTCGAGAAAATTTTGAAACGCAGTGATGGAAGTATACCTCGCAAGTTGCAAACCGATGACGGCAAAGAATTTTACAACAAGACCTTAGCTTTCAAACCCTGATGACACGAAAAGACATTCGTCATTTTTCGACCAGCGGCGATACCAAAGCTAATGTGATCGAACGATTCAATCGCAAATTGGGAGCACTTTTGAATTCAACTGATAGCCAGTAATTGCACGCGTTATTTTTTTTAGGGCTAGATTGAAAATACTACAAAAAAATATAGTCAATGTCCAACAATATGTAATAGTGCTTTTGCAACACAAGCTAANCAAATTGGGAGCACTTTTGAATTCAACTGATAGCCAGTAATTGCACGCGTTATTTTTTTAGGGCTAGATTGAAAATACGACAAGAAAATATAGTCAATGTCCCGACAATGTGTAATAGTGCTTTTGCAACACGAGCTAAACGATGTATTCAGGAGCAAAACAGAAAATGTCACGTTTCAGATTGTTATCACAGTGTGAACTAAGACTGGGAGCTGTTAGGAATAATAGAAAATACAATCCAATACCTAAACGCCAATTTTACCGCGGACAATTTGGACTTGGCTGCTTGGAGGCTTGGGTGTATAAACTTGGGGGTATAAAGCAAAAGAGATCACATTGCAGTAAAATGGTGGAAGAGTAGTTTTTTTAATTTTTTTTCCTTGTCTCAGAGAGAAGTTAGAATTTGACTACACTATACGGAGATGGACCCCTTATCCCCAGGAGAGAGCAAGAAAAATCCTTGCTAAATTTTCAAAAAGTAACGAGAAAAATAAGAAGAGTCTTGATTGTTAACCTTTTGTATAAGTGCAGATTGACTTTAAATTGGCTTTCAAAATCAGATGGAAAAACTATCAACAAAATGTTCTCCTCAGATTCAGTGATTTGTAGTCATGCACGCGGGTTATCATGAGAGTGAGTCACCTGGAGTGATGAACTTATTAAGGGAGTATA